CTAACCCTTCCCCCCCCCCCGTCCCAGACAAGGATATTTCTCCTCCTTTCTACTTATCATTCATATATGGTCAAATGCAATATCACCAATTAGTATATAAACTAAAATTAATGATGTTATTTACATTTCTCAGTTGTTGTCAATGTATATTTATTACTTCTGGTTTCTTTCTATATTGCTGTCCTTCTTTATTAGTTTCTTATATTCCTCTGACTGTCTATATACGCTTCCCGCATTTTCCCACACCCAATCATAATTTGACTTCCTGTCTGCATCCCTTGCACATAGTTCCTCCATGAATCTTATTTCTTCCATTATGTTCCCCCAACTCTCTACTGTAGGTAATATCGTGGACTTCCGCCTACTCTGGCAGCCGACATTACAAATCTTAGAATATCATTTTTTCTCTTTTTTATGGGACCGGGGAACAATGATAACAGTGCCACCAGGGGGGTCCTTTTCAATATCTGATGCTTCCACTGAACGGTATATTTCCAAATATCGATTCCCGGAACGGCTGGGAACCCCTGCAGGCCCACTCAGCCATATTTTGCCACAGGTTAATCATGAAAGACGACTACCCGTGTTAATATTCTGGTCTGTAGGAATGTTTTCTTGCCGAATCACTTCCCGCACTCACAACACGAATAGGGATGAGGTTCAGGTTCCATGGAATCGTGTGCGGGTTGGAATGCGAATTGATGTGCAGTTTTGCCCGGTGGAATTTGTTTGCACAATATTGCCCTGCATGACCTTTGAACTATGACCAGCAGGCTTTGAAGGGCCAATAAGGGGGTTGTTGGTTTAAGCCGGCCCATTTATTAAAAAAGAGGGGGCGCACAAAGCAGGCATAGTGTTGGTGTAGTCATTGGAGGCTGCTGTAGTGAAAGCCGACAAACTGCATATGGAAAATCGGGAATCTGTACTGTAATTCGGATTGCTAGCTCTTGGGGCAATCGACCCTTTGCTGCCTTCCTTTTTAATTGTTGGCTATTGACCATCTCACATTATATCATTCACATTCATCGCTCCCCCCCACCAATACGCATTAAAAAAAAATAATGTTAGGCATGCACCAGTTAGGCCCAATATCTCAGGTTAGAACTGTCCTTCTGCTGGCATATTTTCCACTCCACTGCTGTAGCTTCATTCCTGTAGTAAAGCTCCAGCCTGTGCTCTTTGTCGCCAGTAAATTTGGGCCTAGCCTCGCCTTTAAAACTGGATTTACTTGGCTGTGCCATCTGCAGTCTCGTAATTCTGGAAGTAGACAAAGATTCGCCCATCAGTATGAATAGGGATGCTCACTCGTAGAAAATCTCTGAAACTGTTCTTGTTATTGAAACACTTCCTCACCCATTGTGAAATGCATGTTTCTCAGTCACAGTCTTGGTGTTTAAGGTCTCCTTTGTGGAAAAAAACATTTCCCGCACTCTTGACATTATTGGGGTCGGTCACCTGTGTGAATTTTTTGATGTCTAACAAGTTGTCCTTTCTCGCTGAAACACTTGCCGCATTCTAAGCATGAAAAGGGACGCTCACCCGTGTGAATTCTCTGGTGATTAAGCAGGGTTCTTTTCTGATTGAAACTTTTACCGCACTCCGAACATGAATAGGGACGCTCACCTGTGTGAATCATCTGGTGTGTCCGAAGTATTGTTTTCTCAGTGAAACATTTCCCGCACTCTGAACACGAATAGGGACGCTCGCCCGTGTGACATTTCTGGTGGGTACTTAGGTAATCTTTTCGAATGAAACATTTCCCACACTCTGTACACGAATAGGGACGTTCACCCGTGTGAATCTTTTGGTGCATATGAAAGTCTCTTTTGCGAAGGAAACATTTCCCACACTCTGAACATGAAAATGGACGTTCATCTGTGTAAACGTTCGGGTGACTACGAACATTTCCTTTGTTGCTGAACCATCTAAAATGTGAAAATGAACTCTCTGCTGTGTGAACTCCTTCACGGCCTGAAGATGATTTTTTGGAATTTGATGGACCCGTTGATCCTTCCGCACTGTGAGATTTTAGAATCATAGCTGGAATAACAGTCTGTGATTGATGAGAAGATTCCCCAGGATTAGAAGGATCCATTGATGTCTCTGAATGGGAAGGTCTGCGATGTATATTTTGCCCAACGAGATTCACTCCTGGAGAATATAGTGTGATGCCATTATAAGCTGGAGATAAAAGTAGACGTCCCTCAGAGAGGCTCCAGACATAATGTCCATCTGTTGGGAAAAATATTTTGCATAAAAATTATAAATATTGTTCACACCTCACAATAAAGTCTCACTTTGTCTGATTTCATGTTCTATGTTATGTCTAGCTGCGTGGTGGGACAGGACAACACAAGGGGGTTGGGCCGAAATCAGACACATTTATGGGGAGAAGAACCTTCCATATGGTGTCCAGTATCTCCTCCTCATTTGTTGGGGACAT